GTGACATTCCTTGGGGGAGGCCTATGTTCAGCAGTGGACTTATGAAAGGCTGTAATGATGATGATGAATAACATCTTTGATACCTAACCTCTTAATATGGTTTAATCTTACAGCATAAGTTGGAAGGATCCTTTTCAATCCCTGTAGGTTTTCAAATATTTTCTGTTTTGTTGTTTAGCCATCTTTAAAGTTTTCTATAATGTATGTATATCATCTTGTCAAACTTAATATAGATACCTCAGTCGTTATATTATGTTTTATGATCATACATAACATAAATAATTCCTACGTAACATAGGTTATTGTTATTAGCTCGCCCAAAATTTGACTCCATTTTGAGATTCAAAAAACGAATATTTATGTCCCTAGTTATTCAATTTATTAAAAAAAATGTTTCAAAAATAGGTCAAAGACAGAATATAGCACCCAGAAACATGGAACACAAACTACAACCAATCAAGGCAGCTATGTTTACTCCTGTGTGACCACCACCAGAGTTGCAACCAATCACATGGCGTTCCCGTCATAGATAAAATTAGCTGTGCCGCCCGCGTATAATATAATGTTTTAAAATTTTTGCCCGGTACCCTAATTCTTTTTCTAAAATAAAAGTAACTTAAGTTACTCCTTATAACATCAGCTATCTGCCAGTGAAAGTCCCGTAATAATCGGTCCAGCCTATTTGGAGATTAGCCGAAACAGACAGACAAACAAACAAATTTATAATTTTGTTTTTGTTATAAGTACCGTATATACTTTCATATGCGTGAAGTAAAAGCTGTTATTTTGACAATACAAACCGACACTTCATTTTTATTTATTTGTATAGATTTCAAAAATTATTATGTTCCATTTTTGTTTATTTTGCATAAAATATACATATTTTAGTTTAAAATAAAGTGAAACATATTTTTTTAAGCTATTATGTGATCACAATCTGTAGTACTTATATTTTCAATATTGTTAAATAGCCTATTACTTGCCTTCTTCTGTTGTGTTGTGAACTGTTGTTCTTTATGATGTCCAAATCCGATAGTGACTCTGATAATCAACTAATTACTAGTGCTCGAGTTAAACGAAAAAAATACTCGCAAAATTATAAAAAGGAATGGGAACTACGACCAGAAAGTTCTAATTGGTTAAAAGAAAGCCGAAAAGGAATAAAGCTACGCTAATTGCAGCTGTTGCCAAAGCTGCAATAAAGATGTCTGGTTAAAATACCCTGGTTGTATTCTATACTCCAGTTGTTAACTAAAGATAAAGCTTATTGCAAAAATATATAATTATTAAAATTTAGTTTAAATTTTAAACGAGAGAAAGAGCGAGAAAATTTTAAACGAGAAAGAACGACGTCTAAAAGAAGTTGTTTTATGATACATTTCTAAACCGATGGATGTAAATAAAATCTCTCGATTTCTTCCGATTTTTAGTTGGCAAATCTAGCGATTTTAAATGTTCACTATTGCAACACTTTGAGGAGTTTTGGCGGGAACTTGATCGGCGGCGGTTTGCTGCTCCTGTATTATAGTTTATATAGATTGAAGTGGATTTTGATATGTAAAAGTGGTGCGATTTTATGTATTAACTATCTACGCATATGAACTATTAGTGGAAACTGTGAAACAATTGCTCTGATGGTGATGGATTCTCAAGATAAGCTGTTTGTTTTTTTTTTTATTTATTGATTAAAGTGTTCATACATATTTTTTTTTTATTTGTACCATTAAACCAAAAATGGTTTGTATTGGTACTCACATTCGCAACTACCGCACTGCTTAACATTAAATAATTAGTTAATCTTAACAGTAATCAAAAATATACATTAAAATATACCTCCTTTATTATGTAAGTGGTAAGCACCCATTAGCAATTTTTACTTGGGACGTTCCGGAATTGAGCGCCACCGACTTGAGCGCTCATTGCTTTTGTTGTGGAACCTGTTCTACTAGACTAGACAGTGCATACTTCTAATTATATACAGGTTGTTTCACTAATAAGTAACTAAATAATAACTATAATTCTGATTCATTTTATAAGACAAAGTTCTTTATATTATCGTAATAGTATTTTTTGAGTTTTTCTTTATAGTTTTTTGTGTTTAATTCTTTTTGGATGTTTTGCGTGATGTTATTTAAAAGAGTTGGAATTAAAAATTCTATTGTTCGCCTACCATAGTAATTTGAGATCCTAGGCACATTTAATTTTTGTTTGGTAATATTTCTTGTAATTATTTTATGGGATATGGGCACTTGGATGATTTTATTATTAAATTGTTCAATTAAGAGGGTCATGTGAAATTTCATCTGCATGGGTAATATATTGCAGTATTTGAAAATGTCTAATAAGTTATCTTTATATTGTTGTTTTATTTTTTGAGGTACAATAAGTTTAAGTAATCTTAGTTGTAGTTTATATATTTTTTCGGTATATGACTTAAAGGTTCGTCCATAACTTGAAATTCCGTATGATATAATTGACTCAGCTAAGGCTTTATACATATTGAGTAGGATATTATATGGTACTTTAGGTTTTAAAATGTAGAATTTAGCCAATATAGCTCGTAATTTGTCACAGACAGAATCTATGTGAAATCTCCAGCTAAATCTATTATCTACAATTAATCCTAAGTAAGTGTAATGCGTTACTTGTTCGATTGCCTCACATTTACAAGCCCTAGATGAAATTGATTTGTGCAGACATCTGTGACTGTGAGCAACCACCTTAAAATCCGTGTTGTGTTTTATATAGTTTGAGTGAACGTGAATGATTTTGGTTTTATTTGCATTCAAGACAAGTCCCGCATCATGTGTCCATTTGGATATTTGTGTAAAATCTTGTTGTAGCCATTGCGCTGCTTCTTTTAGGTCCTTGCTGGTAGCCAAAATACACGTGTCGTCCGCGTATTGATAAACTGAACAATGGTTGACTACATGTTCCATATCGTTAACATATGCTAAATAGTGCAAGGGTCCAAGCACCGAACCTTGAGCTGTTCCTTCAGTAACATCGATAGCATCACTAACTTCATCACAGATTTTAACTTTATATTTACGATTATAGAGGTAGTCTTTGCACCACTTTAAAATCGGGCCACGTACACCGGTATTCTCTAGTTTTGTCAAGAGCGTATCGTGTCGAAGCGTATCAAACGCTTTGCTGAAATCTATGAATAGCAGGATAACGTGGTTTTTGTCATCTAGAAATTTGTTTACATCATTTGTAAATTTTGATAGCAGCTTAGAGGTAGATTTGTTAGGTTGGAAACCATATTGTGAGTTTGATAAGATGTCATTTTTAATGTAAAAGTCTTGTATCTGATTACAGACGTATTTTTCTACTATCTTGTCAATGACTGGTAGGATAGTAATTGGTCTGTAATTGGCATAATCACTGTGACTGCCTTTTTTATAAATCGGTCTCACAATACCTATTTTTAATTCATCTGGGTACTTCGCTTGATGTATACTATTATTTATTAATTTGACAATAACTCCTATCATCTTATCACAGATAGATTGTATGTCGACACATCGGATATTATCCATACCAGGAGCTTTATTGGTTTTAAGGTTTTTCACAATCTTCATCACACTTTTGGTTGAGGCTCTTTTGAAATACATAGATTTATTTTCGGGGAACATATATTCTGATTCATCTAGAAGACTTTGGTTACATTTCGGTAAGATTTTTTTTACACAATTTCTAAATTCTGTTGCAAAGTTATTAGCTTTTGATTTTGTGTCAATATTGTTCTTAAATCTTGCCTCATCAATTGAGTTTTTGTTTCGACCAGATAGTGTATTCAAAATTTGCCATAGATTTCTAAGATTCATTTTATTACTATTTATTTGTTCTATATAATATTTATTTTTACTTTTTTCAATTATTTAACGTGTCTTATTTCTTAATTTATTATACTCTAATTTTATTAATTTGTCTGTAGAATCATTTTTCCATTTGATGAATAATTTGTTCTTCTTTTTACACATATTATCAATTGTACTATTTATCCAAGGATATTTATTTCTGTTACTAATTTTATTTATTTTTCTTATATATTTTGAATCACTATAAAAACCATTTAATTTATTTTTGATACAATCGTAAAGTTTAGTTGGACACTCTATATCTTTTACTTCGGTCCAATCTAGATTATTAAGTAAATTTTTAATTTTATAATTATTAATTTGTTGGATTATTTTTGTATCATTCTGTATTTGTGTTTGGACGAATCCTACGCACGAGAGTATAATCATACAATGGTCAGCCATTACAGTTCCGAGCGCAGCCGAGTAAAGGTCTAACGAGCGCGTACGAGTAAAAATGTGATCTATGCAGCTGCGAGTCGTGTTATTACCGCGTATTTCAATTCTTGTGTAATCCGATATCGCGCTTGTTAGACCGCACTCGGACATACTACTAATGTAGTAGTCTCGTATGTTGTCGCATGTTTTTAAGTCTATGTTAACGTCGCTCAAGAGATAAGTGTCACATAGTTGAAACATAGAATTTGATAGTAGGCTACTTATTTCCTTTACAAATAGGTGCTTACTCTGACTTGGTGGTCTATAAACAGCACAGATGTAAGCGGAGTATTTGTAAGGCGTAGTGATCTTACCAATAATAGTCTCACAGTATATTAATGAGTGACTTACTGGCGCGAATGAGTGGACATATCTGGCATATAGAATTATACCACCGCCTTTTCTATTTTTACGTAGCATACTGTGCATTCTATAGCCATTGATATTAAACATAGAAACTATATTATCATTTATATTTACTTCACTTAAGATTAAAATATCAATAATCATTTTAGAAGAGTTAATTAACTGTGTTACATAGCAAAAATTTTTAATCAACGATCTTACGTTTATATGGACAATATTAAGATGGTTTTTATAAATGGGGGGTATATGCCTACAAAAGTTATTAATATCAGCACAATCTAATATTTCTTGATGATCGGAAAAGAGAACCTGGGTGACTAATTTTGAAATCTATTTCCGATTAAAACTGTGGCCGATTATTTTTGTTTGTGCTGAGAGCTTCTCAATGTCAGCTTCGCTTCGGGCGACTTCAGGCTTGGCTTTGTCATCTTTACGGAGTAGTACCTTTCCATCTTGGAACCAGACATATTTGTAGGCCGGTCTTAATTTTTGTTGTGCTAGCCATAATAATGACTTATTGGCTTTAGTCAGGGCGCGTCGCATGGTCACTTTCATCTTAGCAACTTCCACGGGAGCCTCGGGAATGATTTGTTCTACCACTAGTTCTTCCTGTTTGGAGGCTCGCACCCATAAACTTGCGTGTTCTACATGCTTGAGCTGCAACTGGATGTTTCCGTCTTGAATATTTCGACTTTCAACACGTGTAATATTCATTACCTGCGTCCTGTCCATGTTGAGTGTCTCAGCTAGCTTGAGAGATATGTTTTCAAGATTTTCGTCTTTAGCTTTAGGGATTCCTATCACTTCTATCACATTATCTAGACGCTGTTGTTCAATATTACGTAGATATTGTTTCAGTGAACTCATTTCAAGCTCAAGATGAGTTTTTTCGTTATGTAGATGGTTGTACTTCTTTTCTAATTACTGAATATGTTGGTTTTGAGCTTCCACAGTTTTGAAAAGATCGTCAATTTTTGCACAACAGAAGCTCACAGATGTTTCGATTGGTTGTAGTTCTATTTTTAAAACTTTTTTCATTTCTGCTGTGATTTCCTTTAAAAACTTCTCTGTGTCTATCATACAGTTGTCTGAGTTTTTGTCAGAGACCACGACATCATTATCTTCATCATCTTCTTCCGCTATAATAAAGGATGATTTTCTGTTAGGTGTATTTTGATGGCATTCGTCACATGTCCAGTCTAGTCTGTCCGCATTACGAAGCGCGGAAAGTTGCTTCGCGTTTAGACCACAGCAAGCTTTACTAGCATGAACCACCTTACCACAGGATCTACATTCCAGTCCAGGTATCTTGGTGGTTATAACTTTGTTGCAGATATCACATTTAGTCATTATGTTTTCGTATTAATATTTTATTTAGGGGGTAGTTACCACATGTATTAAAATATGTTAACACAGAATCGACAAACACAGCAGCGCGAGATCGAATGATATTGATCGAATGAGCTTTGCATAGGCGCCTTTAGATACCATCGCCAACTATCAGCTGCCTGCTGGCTCAAGTTGCCGTCAAAATCTCCCAAGGGCTACACAATGTGACGCATCAACATATTGTGAAGCAGTGCACTATAAAGGATAATAATACTTAAAAACAACGCTGTATGGCATACTTCCTTTGCCTGCTCTCTCTCGAGTGAAAAATAAAAACACAACAATGCAACACTTTGAGAACGACGCCATTTGCCACAGACTACTTAGTGGATACTACGTATCCATTTCCTTTTGGAATTTTGGATTTTGGAAAGATGTTGAAAAGTTGAGAACCGCTTGTGCATTTAGATTGTAATTTTGTGTTTTTACTTTTTGATCTTATTTTAGTTTCTATAATAGTTTCTAGTACATACTTATTAAATTTATTGTAAAAGTGAGTGAAAAATAAATAAAAAGGTTAAAGGCAAACTGCGTCAAGAGTACGTTGCAAATCAACGAAACCCGATATCCCGATAATTACTTGTGTGATATTGTGATTTTGTAAAATTAGATTTCGAAGTTTAACAATTGAAAGGGAGCGCCTCATCAAGGTATTCTCTGATTATTCATGATAAAATATCGATATACAGTTGCTGAATCCAATTGACAGTGAAGACTGTGGAAATAGTGCAAAAATCTCATTCTTGCGCCTTTAACACAAATATCTCCGATGATTATTTATACATTATCAGGATATCATGCAAAGATTCTCGACAAGGCTGAAAATGATGCCAATAACCAAAGCCAAACCAAAGCCTTCCTCTAATAAACATACGAAACAAAGAAAACAAGTGAGTACCTAATTATTATTTTATAGGTTTGTTCACTCACTTATTCTCGATAATAAGCATTTGTCACAGATAACTACATTTTGAATAGCAGAACCTCTAGATGTTAAGACTAAGGTTTTATGCAGTTGCGCTTCATTTGCATAGGCAACCTTATGACAAGAAACCACAAATTACACACCATGTTAATCAAATCTTAAATGGACATAGTTATGCAAAAAGGATCCAACCCGCAATAAGTTAATTTGAGTTTATGATATTTGAAGTATCCATACTTCAAATATAAACTCAAATTATCGGTATGGTTTCTGTCTGTTTGTAATTTTTCTTCTTATTTGTGTTACGTTTGCTAAAATTGTTACATCACATAATAGTATAGACCACAAACATTATTTTTCAAGTCAACATTTTTTGACACAAACTCTGGTTGGATCCTTTTTGCATAACCACGTTCAAATATTCATTGTGTAACTAAATGTACAATAATACATCAATATGCAATTTTTACCTGCCACCTGCTAAGTGTGGCAACTATGGCAAAATCCCTCCTGTGAGGCAATCTATTGGGGAGGCCTATGTTCAGCAGTGGACTTTTATAGGCTGTGATATAATTCTAAAGTTAGAATTATAGTAAATTAATATTAATTAATACTATAATAAATAATAGTAAATTGTGTACTGTCACAGATTACTTAATAGTTTACTAAACAGATACATCACTCCTATACAAAAGCGAAAATACCTACGCTATAACAGCCTACAAAATCTTAATAATAATATCTGCTGTTCGCAGCGAGAAGAAAATGTACCATAAGTACCCACATAAAGAGTCGAGATTGTGTTGACCGCCATGCGCCTCACGTGCAAGCGCGTCATCGCACGAATGCGCTAGGGTTGTACCTATAATGATTATTGTAATAAAACGAATCTTGCGAAATAACCATATTTTGTATTTTTCAATCAAATATGTTTGAGTTTTATAAAATGATTTATACATTTTTTTCCTTCTTTGAATTCTCGGTTATTAAATCTTATAGTTGAAAATATCCTAAATCGCGTAAATAATTTTAATAAACAATCATAAGGAAAACAGGAGCAAAGCGGAGGAAAATCAATGGTTTGTAAAATTTGTAACACGCTGCTGCCAGGCCGATTCATTATGGTGTTGTCAAAATTATTTAAGACTTTTATATAATTTGGGTGTCCAGGTTGTCACTCAATTTATAAATCACAGTACTGTTATGCTGTTGCTTCGATGTAATCTTATAGTTAAGAAAAAAATGACTATTTTTCATTTGTTTTTTGACTCTGACACCCATCCACTGCACAATAATTACGTGGTTTCGGCATTTCGACGAGTAAGCGCGGGAAACGTGCGCGGTGCAAGCGCTCAAGCGTGCGGCAGCCCAATGTCGGTTGTATCGTGGGCGATACACAGAACGGTAGGCATATAACGCAGGGCCTTGAGCGAGTGGCGGAGGCCTGGTACTGTTTGCCTTAATGAATATACTGAAAAATGTGGGTTCAACTTTAAATGTGCTCTTTGTAAGTCTTTTGTAAGTGACAAATTCTTGGATATGTCCCATCAATAAAGAGCTAAGCACACCTAGGTGTCATTAACTATAATGGCTAAACGCCTCCATAATCTTCTTAAGTTAGAATTTAATATCAATGTGTACTTAAAGAACAATGGCAGAAAAATAGTTGACAAAAATTATTGAATCTAGAAATATTATTATTATTATTATCTGGTAATAGGCAAGCAGCTTATAGCTGATATGCCTATATCTGTGTTGGTGTTTTATATTAGTCCAAGTTCACGCTAAGAGAATATAACTACTAATAAAATAACTTATTTATAAAATGAGTTTTATTATTTTTCTATGATTTTACAAATAAAAATATCATCATCATCATCATCATTACAGCCCTTCACAAGTCCACTGCTGAACATAGGCCTCCCCTAAGAAATGCCACAAAGCACGGTCCTGAGCCACCTGCATCCATCGACTTCCTGCATGTCTTAACAGGTCGTCACTCTATCTCGTGGGGGGTCAACCCTACACTTCGCCTACCGGTACGAGGCTGCCACTCAAGAACCTTTCTTCCCCATCGGTTGTCGGTTCTCTGAGCTATATGGCCGGCCCACTGCCACTTAAGCTTACTAATCCGTTGGGCTATGTCGGTCACTCTGGTTCTACTGCGGATATCCTCATTTCTGAGTTTATCACGCAGAGAAACTCCGAGCATAGCCCTCTCCATAGCTCGCTGAGCGACTTTGAGCTTCCTCATTCGGCCAGCAGTGAAGGACCACATCTCAGTTCCATAGGTCATCACTGGCAACACGCACTGGTTGTACAATTTCGTTTTAAGGTTTTGAGGTATACCTGACGAGAAGATGTGCCGTAATTTCCCGAACGCTGCCCAACCGAGTTGAAGTCGAAGGTGAGTGATGTACTCGCCATTGATGTTAATACCGTATCCTATCCAGTCCAGAAGCTTGAAAACGTCTTCCAATGCAGCGGTGAAGAATTTCGGGGACGTCACCCTGTCTTACACCTCTCTGCAATTGGATAGGTTTCTTACTCTGGTTCTGTACTCGGATAGCCATCGTAGCCCTACTGTACAAGCACTTCAGCACTTCGATATACCGACAGTCAACTTGGCACCGCTGAAGGGACTGCAGCACCGCCCAAATTTCGACGGAATCAAAGGCTTTCTCATAGTCCACATACGCCAGACATAGTGGCAAATTGTACTCCTCTGACTTTTGTACAATTTGCCGAAGGGTATGTATGTGGTCTGTGGTGCTAAAGCCTTTTCGGAAACCGGCTTGTTCGGGAGGCTGGAAGTCGTCAAGTCTGCGCGCGAGACGATTCGCAATGACTCTCGAAAACAGCACGTAGACGCGGCTCAGAAGGGAAATCGGTCTGTAGTTCTTCAAGAGAGCGTTGTCGCCTTTCTTGAAGAACAAGACCGCCGCACTTCTGCTTCACGCCTCCGGTGTAATGCCACCATGGAGGACGGAACTAAATAGCTTCTGAAGGACTTCAAGTACCGGTTTTCCACCCGCTTTCAGAAGCTCCGCTGTAATTTCATCCTCGCCTGGGGCCTTGCCGTTTTTAAGGTGCTGGAGAGCCATTTTAATCTCGTTCAGACTGACGTCGCTGCTGCCACATTCTGTCTTCAGCTTTGACAGTTTGCTCTTTCTGGCAGACAGATCTCTGGCAAAGACTTTGGAGCCTTGGTTCCGTTCGATCGCTTCTTCAATACGAGCTGTATTGAAGTTGCGTAAGTCCCGCCGCATGCATTTGGAGATCTGTCTGTTCAGTTGCCTGTATGCTGTCAAATCTGTTGAAGAATGTAGCTTCATCAACTTCAAAAACCAAACATTTTTCAAATTTCAATATCAAATGACCTAAATCATTGTACTCTATTCAAGTGTTGCCATTTACTATGTTCATACTATTTTCGTATACACTTTGTAAAACTACCAACACATCAAAACACAAACACAAAATATTTTTATATTTAGTTATTATTAGTAATAACTATACAATCAGTAATAATAAAAATAAAAGTGATATGGTT